ATTAAGAACATAATTGCAAAAATTAAGTGTTTTGAAAAATAAATCAGTTACATTTTAATTCTTACCACGAAAATAATTTTATTTAGTGATTATTGATAATATTTTAAGATCATTTACAAGTAAAACTTACCGAAATTTAGTGTGATATTAATGAAATTCGGTACAATTATATGAAAAACTAAAGTAATGAAATATTTATTCATAAAATATATAAGATAACATAGAGCAAGAGAGTTGAGAAATAATCATAAACCATGAAAGTATAAAGCTAAGCCATATGTCGTTTCATCGTTTAGGAAGCCTGCATCTGTCTTTCTTCACACATTCACCACACAATGATGAAATGGCCTCGTATTTGGCCCGAAGGGCCTCCACGTCAGCATTATAAATAACAATGTGCTCTAGCTAAAGGGAGACCACCGAAAATCTCCATTGAAGGCCCCAACTATCCAATCAGACATTATCATATGTACGAGCTGGGAGTAGTCCCCTCCTGCTCTCTAACGTTCGAGTTAATTTAAACCTCTGATTGCTCTAGATTACTAAAGTTTTAATATTTATATTATTGCATCACAATTTAATTTATTTTGTTTCTTTATTTTTGCTCAAACTGATGGTTATTTTTTTCAATTTTAGATCGTTTACTAATTCATTAAAATTTGAATAAAGTATCGAAAAATGTTTCGTTTCACTATTGAAATATATAAATTTAATTTATTTTCTATGATAATATTATCAAATCTCGATTTAATTACCATTTATTTACTTAGTCTAATTCCTAACACAAAATTATCTATCTAAATCTATTGGATAAAAGAACAAAGGAGAAAATTTACATTTAATTTTAAATTTATTAAAAGAAAATTCTAATAATATTAAATCAGTAGACTAATATTGAATTAATGTTAAAGCTGTCGATTAATTAATACAATTAAGAGATATTATTGACTTTTATCAATATAGAAATCTGTCATTTTTCTTTGTTTTATATAGGGGAGATCGGGGCAACTTCGGCAAGCGGGGCAAGTTTGTCAAGCGCTTTTTTTAAAAAACAAATTAAAAGGAGACTTTGGTTATAGGTTAGGCAGTTGAGTTTTATTGGTGGCTTGTTGAGTGTAGTGTTTTTATTGTTCTCCAACAAGCGTAGTTGAATTATCAAGCAAATTTTCATTTTCGTTCAATTCCATATAATATTTTTTTTCCATTTATATTGAATTGGCAGGTTTTGTTATAATTCCATGATAACGAAAGTTACTTTTCCTGTTAGAAGGATGTAACTTCAACTTATTCACGTGGCCAGATCGTGGCTTGGCATTCTGTTCTCAGGGTTGTACTTAATGTTTCGAAATCATGACTAGCGGGGTAAGATCGGCAACATAAAGCCACATTAGAAGCAAAGGATAAAAATCAAACAGATGATAAATGAAAACATGTTTGCATTTGTTATTCATGTATATATGTCTTTGAACTTGCATTTCGTTGTAATAATATTAAATGGGTGTTGGATTTGTATTTCTTTGTTTTAATAGTGAATTCCAACTTATACATTGTTAATAACATAATTTTATATACGTGCCTATCTTGCCCCATTACTGTTGCCCCTATACCAGGGGCAACTTTAATAAAAATAATTAAAATAATTACAACTTTACAAAAAGAGAGAAGTTGCCGATCTTGCCCCTATACCCGGGGCAACTTCGTCAATTTCTCTCTTCTTGTAAAGTTGTAATTATTTTAATTATTTTTATTTCCAAACTGATTTTAACCAGTTCTATAGTAAGGTAACATTCCAATAGACAATATGCAAAGCTTTTTTTTCAGTTTACAGCAGTATTTATTACACAAAATTTAAGTAAAGCTTAACATGCCGATCTTGCCCCGATCTCCCCTATACTTTTATTGAAAATTTATATTATTTATTATTGAGAAAGTAATTTTTAGATACTGTAGAATTAATTCCTCATAATTTTTATTGATTATTTTATAAATTAACAACAACAACAAAAACAATACCAGAAACACAGTAAAATACTTTAGAAGCTGATTGAATATAAAACGATTAAAAAGTTCTGTTGGTTTGTCTGTTCGTAGTTTGTTTACAATTGTAATTATACATGCATCAATGCAATATGCGTGCAATCGCACGTGAGGATCAGAAGAAACAACAAAAATACAATGTTATGGTATTATTGGTTTTATGTGAATAGTACTTTCCTGTTGATAGATGAATGAAAGTAAGTAAATCTAACAACAAGCCGAGTTAAATAAAGAACATTTTTTGAACTTCAAAAAGAATTTTTTTTTAAATTGATCGTTCAAGGAAATTGTATTTTTTTAAACTATAAATAAATGTAATAGAATAATAGAAATATGATTTGTAATAGAAAAATATATCATTTAAGCGTCTGAAAGTATCTATTTATTTAAAAAGAATATAAATAATATTAAAAATAATTAATTTTACAAATTGTTATTATTTTCCACTAATATGTATACTGGTAATTTTTAATTATACTAAAATGAAATAATACTTTTGGATAGAGAAACTCAAAGGAAAATTTCGTATGTATAAAAATCCCTAAAAACTTCCAAGCTTAAATATTTATTTCTCAAAAGTACGTTCAGTTAAACAAAACAAAGCACTTTAATCCCTGTCTAGTCCATGTAATCTCTTGTTTCCTACACTATTCACTACTGACTTGTTTCTTCCTACTGTTACTATTTATTGAATATTTTATATTAATAATTACAATAGAAAGAGCATAAAAATACAAACTACTCAATACATAAAAAGAATAAGATATGAATTTTGGAATATAAAATTTCAATTTTTAATAGTTTTTTTTTAAACTTTTACTTATCTAATGAATGGAAAATGAAGTATATTATTACCTTTAGAAATGAAAATTCATTAAAAGAAAAATATGTATAAAATAAATGTATAATAAATTATTCCAGTCAGCTAAACAAAACAAAGCATTTTAATCTGTCTAGTCTCTCTAATCTTTTGTTTTCCTACACTATTAAGATGTTTCTTTCTACTATTCCTACCTATTAAATATCCTGTATTAATTAATTACAATAGAAACAGTACAATGAATACAGAGTACTTAATACACAAGAAAATTAAAATACAGATTTTTTTGTACTGAAGATTTTCCTGTTTCGAATACAAAGGACTCGAAACAAAAATTAAAATCTTGAATTTTCTTATTAGTTTGTTTTTAATTTTCAGTTATACTACAGTTTAGTAAATGGAGACTAATCATATTTTTATGTAGGAAAAACTGTAGGAAAAGAATGTATACAAAATCGCAAAAAAAAAAAAATTCATGTTATTTTGAGGAATAACCATTCGAGTGTGTTCAGCTAACAAAACAAAGCACTTTAACCCCTGTCTAGCCCCTCTAATCTCTCGTTTTTTTACGTTCATTGACTACTTAGTTTCCTCTCTATCGTTCCTTTGTATTGAATATTTTGTTAATCAATTACAACAGAAATAGTACAATGAACACAAATTACTCAATACAAATATATTGTATTATTACAGTTATGCATTTTAGGGTTCAAGTAACATAAATTATATTACATGATTAACTGTTATAACTTTTGATTAACTAAATTTTGAATGTATCTAAATATTTAAACTACATATGTCATTTCAAAATTTTTCATCGAGTATTTAAATTATGCATTTTTTTTTCTAATTTATAAAAGAAATTAATGAATAATTATGACTTTTTCCACCAAATATTCTAGATTTTCCTGTTTATCCTGTAGATTTCGTTCACTTGAAAATCAATAATCGTTCTATAAAATAGCGCCATCTGGATTCGATTATTTGAATTACAATCAAATTTCGATTTAGCGCCACCTCTTTCTTCATCTCTGAAAGTGGCACTAAATCGATGGTGACAATATTGAACTGTAACCGTAATGTCATTTTTTTTCAAAGAAATCAATATATTGAATTAATTATATATAATATATTTATTTTATTAGAAAGCATTGTGTTTCAAAAAAATATTACTCTGATGATACATCCAATGAGTATTATATACAATGTTATGTAGACAACTTATTCTTAAACACATCTAAAAGAAAATATGTCCGGCTTAATTGGATGATACTTATGTAAATTAGATGAGTATTTTGAGATTTACTTGAAGAAATTCATTTGCATAATTATATAGTGTATTACGGATATTAGTTATTGCTGATAGTGACGCATTGCATAGTGGTAACGGTTACGTTAAATTATTTTACTTAATATTTTGTAGCCTATCGAAAAAATACAAAGAAATATAATGAAATTACTTTTCATGAAATGTTACAAATGTTGTAAAATTTATATATAATTATTCTCTTCCATAGAAAATATGGTACATACGTCAGTTACGGTACATAAAAGACTCAGAACAGTTCAATAGAACTACATTCAGTTAATGAACATAAAGACTAAGAGATTTAAGATAAATTAAATTCTTTACTTTTTTCGGAAAATTAAAATCACAAAATATATATTTNATTATTACGTTTCCGGAATTTCAGGATTTTCTAATAAATCCTGAAATTCCGGAAACGTAATAATTAATCAAACAACTTCTTTTATAATTTATGCATTAGGACCTAACAGGAAATGAATTGAAATTTTCTAAGATCCAAACAAACCTTGACCCGAAGATGTTACTGAATTGTTAATAATATTAAATGCTAATTCTTTATCACTTATATCAATATCATTTACCGCTATTCTTCAATAAAATCAGCAAAATTTTGCTAAAAATTTATACGAAATTAAGTATGAAAACATGCAAAAATCTAGTTTGTTCTCATTGTATGCAGTAACTAAACTGGTCTTTGCGATTAGTATTTTTAAATAATTTTCTCTAAAATTATTTTTAACATAAAAAAATGGATTTAAAGTGAAATTATTTTTCGATAATTTTCATGATTAGAAAATGTTTTTCCTGAAAAAAATTGACTTTATTTTGTTGTAGATCCGGTATTTAAGACAGAAATAAGAACCTTGACACAAATTTCTGCTGAAGAAGGGGAGAAGGTTAAAAGACATACAGACACTAGCAACATCGGATCGTTTCATTTTTTGAAGATTTTTCAATTGAAAAACTCATGCCTGGCTTAACTGGAAGAAGAAAATTATTTTTATCATCATTATTACAATTTCTTAGTAATTGTTTAGCTTGACAAAAGATGGATTCGAAAGGTATTCTTCCATTTTTGATCGTAATGGTGAGTAACTTTTCATTGCATTATCTATAACGAATAATATATTAATTAATTTTTATATAATTAAAATGATATAATTTCGTAAAACTAATTAATTTTTAAAACTTCTTATTAAATTATCTTGAAAATCTAATATTGTTTGAATGATACTGTACATTGAAGGCATTCGGGAAGAAAATATATTTTCTCTCTTCAACAGTTTTATACGTTAAAATCATGTTATAATATAGAATTTCTGAAGTAAATTTGATCCGTATTTTTTAGTTAAAATAATAAAAAATTCAGTAAATAAACTAGTTGGCCTCGTCACAAATGCCAATTACCACTTTACTGTTACAATATCATATTTTTACGATGGTTAATTTTTTTTTCTGGCCAAAACTTTTACGAAAATAAGCATAAATACTTTTTACAGAAAGATTATTTCTGTTTCTGCATATAATTTTTGCAGAAAATAAATAACTTTCTGAAATTTATAATTAGATAATTAAGTTTTTAACTAAATACACTGACTAAATAAATAAGTTTTACGCTAAATTTATTGTACAGTTATATTATAACATTACGCATACGATTTACGGTATTCGAATAATATTTCGTTCATTAATATTAAAGTAATAACCTGTACAAACTAAGAAAGTGATGATGTTGTTCAGTTCAAAGGTGTTGAACACCTGACTATACATTCCAGTAAACTCGACGGTTAATTGTGTCATCGTGACGTGACTTGTCATAAGATATCACGAATAAAGAAGGTAATTGTTGTGATCTCAATTGACTTAAACTAGCTTTACAATTTTCTCTCTGCACGAACAAAATTGAGCTTGAAAGTTATATATAGGCCTATATACAGTATACAGTATACAGACACACATTCCTATTTAGAAATTAAAATAATCATCCATCTTAATTCTTCATTTTTTAAACTTTTTTTTTGTCTTGAAAAAAAAATTAAATGGAATTTTATATTAAAATTTCTTTCTTTTTTTTAATTCTTTCAGATAACGAGTCGTATTCATCACGCTCATCCGCACCGGAAAGAGAGAAATCTTCAGAAAAGTGTTCATCAATCTCTAGCGAGTGATGTCGATAGCGAAATTATCACAAGCAGAACGACAGGTTTGTGTTTTTGAAATTCCACAAGAGAAAACTTAGTATTAGCCTAAATTTTAATGCCAATTTTTGCTTCAATGCATTTAAAAATATAGAGAAAAATTTGTGTTTTTAAATGCTTTATACTGTATATGTAATTTGAAATATTAATTATCTGTAATGTATATAAAAAGTCTTTTTTTTCGACTTTTAGATGCGTTACAGTTGTATACTTTGCTATATTTCTCCTCCTTTTTCAGATGCGTTACAGAAAAATCAATGTTTTTCTATACATTAAAGCTGAATTTTTAGGTACTGATTCACTATAACGCATCTAAAATTTGTTTCCCCCTTCCTATATGTTTGCATTGCAAGCATATTTTTAGATAACGATCATCTATAACGTATGTAAAAAAATGGTTTTTCTTTACTCTCACATGCATTACAGTTAAATTTTTTTAAATTATAAAATTAAAAATTTATAAAAGTTGGATACGTATAGGAAATATTTTAGACGTTTAAGTAAATAATTTATTATATTTTAATGCTTTAATACGATATTATATTTAGAAAAAATTTAAATTCATTTAATTTTTTTAGATCCTTTACGGCAAAGGTATTCTTTATCCATGATAAATTTAATTTGTACATTTATAAACAGTTTTTTTTAAATATTGTTTAAAATTTAATGTTAATTAATAAAGTAATTAATTATACAAAGTTTATCGTCTAATCGTTAAATTTTCCAGTCAATATTTTTCGTAAGTACAAAAAATTGACATCAGATGGAAGCACTATCGATAAAGCTACCATCCTGTCAAAGGATGGCAGTTGATAAAAACTTAAAAGAAAATATAAAAGTATTTTTAAAAATTTATTTTAAAATATTTATTATCAAAAAATTGCCAAAAAAATATTTCTAGAATATTAATTTTTTGCTTATTTTTTAAGAAAATTACATCATGAAATAAAATAAAATAAATTATTTCGGAAGTGTCGCCATCTAGTGTCAATTTTGTATTTTAATTTTTTTCATGTTTCAATTTGTAGTATCTACTCTTCACTTCATTCTTACACAATAGTTTTTAATGGAAAGTTATGTTTTTAAAAAAAGGAAAAATGTTCGACAGCTTTCTAAGAGATAATATTATTTATTTTTTAGCATATCTTTCGTGTGAATCGGGAGATATGGTTGTAAAGATTAATTTTACTGAACCATATCACGGGGTGGCATACGCAAATGATAGGTTTAGTCCTTGTCGTTTCTATGGAGATGGAAAAAAATATTATGAAATGAGGATACCGTTGAAAGGATGCGGAACGAAACAGGTAAATTTTGTTTTTTCCAATTCTAATTAATTAATTTTTTGCGCCTCTTACAATAAAGTTGGAGAACCTCTTCTTTGCTGTATGAAGGATCATTAAATTGACCGGTAGATCGCGAACCCCGGTCGTCTTCCTCGTTATTTCTTACTTGATAATGGGGGATTTTGCTTTCCATTCGATAGATCGTTATCTACCAATTGAGAAACAAAATCTTCAACAAAAAAAAGTTTTCAAAAATCGGATTTTAATTAAATTTTTTTAGGATTTTTATTTAATAAATTATTATTTTTAATCGTGGTTATTAAAGATATTTTTCACAGGTTTTAAGAAAATTTACATGAAAACGCTGTATAAACTTAATTAATAACTTTTAGTTTATTTTAATTAACTTGTGCTTAAAAATAAATTCTGAAGATATACTTTATTACTATGAAAAGTAACTTGGTAAACCTTTTAACCATATTTTTCTGTTACTAATTTTATTAATAAATGTAATTTAATTGATTTTTTAGTAATAAAAACGACTATTTTAAATCTAAAATATAATATATAACATTTATTTCTGTAGGAGAAAGCCAGAGTGTTCATCAATAATATATTAGTGCGCTTTCATCCATCTCTAGAACTGGAAGGAGACGAAATCAAAACCATTATCTGCCGTTATCCTCCACCTCTAGCCCCTCCACCAAATAATATCGTGGGACCTATGTAAGAGAATGTTTATTTTAGAAGATTACAGCACAAAATACACATTTTTAAGTTAAAAAATCCAGATTTTTAAGGCATGCTTTTTGCATTTTTATATCATACATAAAAGCACATGATACAAGATTAGGATTTCTAATTTGTAAATTAGTTCTTTACTTTTCTTACTGTAAATATTACAAAATTTGTAGAAAAAATACATNCATCCGCACCGGAAAGAGAGAAATCTTCAGAAAAATGTTCATCAATCTCTAGCGAGTGATGTCGATAGCGAAATTATCACAAGCAGAACGACAGGTTTGTGTTTTTGAAATTCCACAAGAGAAAACTTAGTATTAGCCTAAATTTTAATGCCAATTTTTGCTTCAATGCATTTAAAAATATAGAGAAAAATTTGTGTTTTTAAATGCTTTATACTGTATATGTAATTTGAAATATTAATTATCTGTAATGTATATAAAAAGTCTTTTTTTTCGACTTTTAGATGCGTTACAGTTGTATACTTTGCTATATTTCTCCTCCTTTTTCAGATGCGTTACAGAAAAATCAATGTTTTTCTATACATTAAAGCTGAATTTTTAGGTACTGATTCACTATAACGCATCTAAAATTTGTTTCCCCCTTCCTATATGTTTGCATTGCAAGCATATTTATAGATAACGATCATCTATAACGTATGTAAAAAAATGGTTTTTCTTTACTCTCACATGCATTACAGTTAAATTTTTTTAAATTATAAAATTAAAAATTTATAAAAGTTGGATACGTATAGGAAATATTTTAGACGTTTAAGTAAATAATTTATTATATTTTAATGCTTTAATACGATATTATATTTAGAAAAAATTTAAATTCATTTAATTTTTTTAGATCCTTTACGGCAAAGGTATTCTTTATCCATGATAAATTTAATTTGTACATTTATAAACAGTTTTTTTTAAATATTGTTTAAAATTTAATGTTAATTAATAAAGTAATTAATTATACAAAGTTTATCGTCTAATCGTTAAATTTTCCAGTCAATATTTTTCGTAAGTACAAAAAATTGACATCAGATGGAAGCACTATCGATAAAGCTACCATCCTGTCAAAGGATGGCAGTTGATAAAAACTTAAAAGAAAATATAAAAGTATTTTTAAAAATTTATTTTAAAATATTTATTATCAAAAAATTGCCAAAAAAATATTTCTAGAATATTAATTTTTTGCTTATTTTTTAAGAAAATTACATCATGAAATAAAATAAAATAAATTATTTCGGAAGTGTCGCCATCTAGTGTCAATTTTGTATTTTAATTTTTTTCATGTTTCAATTTGTAGTATCTACTCTTCACTTCATTCTTACACAATAGTTTTTAATGGAAAGTTATGTTTTTAAAAAAAGGAAAAATGTTCGACAGCTTTCTAAGAGATAATATTATTTATTTTTTAGCATATCTTTCGTGTGAATCGGGAGATATGGTTGTAAAGATTAATTTTACTGAACCATATCACGGGGTGGCATACGCAAATGATAGGTTTAGTCCTTGTCGTTTCTATGGAGATGGAAAAAAATATTATGAAATGAGGATACCGTTGAAAGGATGCGGAACGAAACAGGTAAATTTTGTTTTTTCCAATTCTAATTAATTAATTTTTTGCGCCTCTTACAATAAAGTTGGAGAACCTCTTCTTTGCTGTATGAAGGATCATTAAATTGACCGGTAGATCGCGAACCCCGGTCGTCTTCCTCGTTATTTCTTACTTGATAATGGGGGATTTTGCTTTCCATTCGATAGATCGTTATCTACCAATTGAGAAACAAAATCTTCAACAAAAAAAAGTTTTCAAAAATCGGATTTTAATTAAATTTTTTTAGGATTTTTATTTAATAAATTATTATTTTTAATCGTGGTTATTAAAGATATTTTTCACAGGTTTTAAGAAAATTTACATGAAAACGCTGTATAAACTTAATTAATAACTTTTAGTTTATTTTAATTAACTTGTGCTTAAAAATAAATTCTGAAGATATACTTTATTACTATGAAAAGTAACTTGGTAAACCTTTTAACCATATTTTTCTGTTACTAATTTTATTAATAAATGTAATTTAATTGATTTTTTAGTAATAAAAACGACTATTTTAAATCTAAAATATAATATATAACATTTATTTCTGTAGGAGAAAGCCAGAGTGTTCATCAATAATATATTAGTGCGCTTTCATCCATCTCTAGAACTGGAAGGAGACGAAATCAAAACCATTATCTGCCGTTATCCTCCACCTCTAGCCCCTCCACCAAATAATATCGTGGGACCTATGTAAGAGAATGTTTATTTTAGAAGATTACAGCACAAAATACACATTTTTAAGTTAAAAAATCCAGATTTTTAAGGCATGCTTTTTGCATTTTTATATCATACATAAAAGCACATGATACAAGATTAGGATTTCTAATTTGTAAATTAGTTCTTTACTTTTCTTACTGTAAATATTACAAAATTTGTAGAAAAAATACATATATTATAATAAATATATTATTTATTTTTATAAATAATGGCTCCAAAGTAATGAGGCTTTTTAAAAGAGATTAATTATTAAATAAAGTTAAAATCATTTAAAAAATAAATTAGGTTACAATAAATTTCATTTCTATTTTAAAGAAGTAAAATTTATTGTAATTTTTAAGGTTTTTTTTATTTTTTAATTTTATTTACTGATTTTTCTTTAATAGCAAAGTTTTATGAAATTTCATTTAATTATCATTAAAAGGAAAATATTACATTTATATAAATATAAAATATTATTACATAATAAATGAAGATTTAATTGAGAAAATGTGTTTCTGTAATGCTTAAGAATCGTTCTATTTTAATTACAGAATATATCCAACAACTCCGACCATACCAGAAACTCAACCGAAATTATCCGAAATTGATATATTGATTATCATTTGCACGATTCTCTTCATATCATTGCTTATTCTTGGTATTGGAATTGCATATTTTTGCTTAAAACGAAGAAATATTCATTTAGTAAGAAGAAAACAAGCACCATCCCTGGCACCGAGTAGCCAAATTACAAAATTGACCGGTTCTTTGATATCAGAATTCGATTCCATCAGAATTCCACGTGCAACTGCTCTATCCACAGCAGGATCCGAAGCAATTCTTCTCGCTTCAAGTGCCAACAAAAGTGATGCCAGTACTTCAGATTATCCAAGCGAAACTCCATCATCTTTGAGTTCTTTAGATGATTTAGATACGAGAGGAAGCGATTATCACTTAGATTCCGAACCAGTTTATGCAGATATTCAAAGGAAATTCGTTCAACCGACGTATCCGAATCACGCATCGAAAATTGAAGTGAGAAATTACGATGATTTCTTTATTACCAAAACGTCGAAAACTACACTTACCGAAGAAACTATCAATACAAGAAAAGTTTACGACAAAACCAATCCCCATCCTAGTCAATGGAATGTTATGTTTCGCATTTTAAATTCCCCAAAAACGATCGAAGGTATGGATTTGTTAACAGAAAAGGATAAAGAATTATTGAAAGATAAAATAGTCGACGACGGTCGATTTCGTCAATTGATACAAGAAGCTACGACCAATCGCGATATGGACATTTTAACGAAGGATTCGTGTTATTCTCACATGTACAATCCAGAAAAATGGAGTGTCATCATACGAATTCTTAATTCTTGCGATCGTAACGAATGGAGAAACGTCCATCATTCACCTGTACCATCTTCGAGAGCCAATTCCATTCGCTCTTTGACAGAAATAGACGTTAACTTCAACCATTCTGATGGAGAAGAATCAATTTCCAGCATGCCAATGTCACGTGTGGCGCAGGAGAGATCAACATCGGAATACTTAGAGGTTATTCCTGTCATAAGCAGGAGAAATCATTCCAATTATTCATTTTCTGAATATTCCGCAGCCAAGAATTTGGATTCTCAGAATTCACGAACTGTTAATACCAATGTTACCCGCGTGCCAAGTATTGGGGAAAGAGAAACTGTTAAATCTGTAACCGAAGAACACGTTTGCGATTGGCAGAAATAATTATTTTTAAAATAATAAAATCGTGAAATCATTTTGCAATACGAAACTGTGATATTCTGATTTCTTTACTTGTAATTTTTAAAAGAAAAATCATTTACAAAATTATTTTTTATATAAATATATTAAAATTGTTTAATTTATATATTATAATATATAAATCGAATAGTAAAATGTAGATTTGAGTATAAGATTTTATTAAATTTATAAAATTTTCATTGTAAAATGTGCAGAAAAAGTATGGAAATATCATTATAATTATGAGAAAAAAAATAAAAATTAGAAATTTTTGATAAAAAATTAAAAAAAAATTAATAGAAAAATAATATAAATTATTCTTACAAAAACATTTCTTGCAATAAAATATTGAAAAAAAAATCTAAAAAAATAAAATTAAAATCTTTTTCTGGATTATGTTACAGAAAATGAGCAATTTCTATAACGTAAACCAGAAAAAGAAATGAGCAGAACAATCAGTTTTGTTTGACATTTCCGGTATTGTGGTTGGCACGACATTAAGATAAATCTCACACTACTTTCCCGTATGTCGAATGTTTTTATAGCATTGAAAACATTGATTTTTTTTCACATGAAAATATGTATTGCATGTATAACATCTATGAAAAATATGTGTATATTGAGCTGGATTTAAACTACTGTGATCATAAACAATAGTCTAATATTGTAAAGACTAAACTGTAGCTTGTTTAGCTTATGTTTAAATCCTGTATTTACGCATATATTATACAAAAGCCATGAAAATAAGGTAAAACACAAACTTCGTCTGTTCTGTTTAGCATGAACTCTGCTTGGAAGTAAGTACTCGTGTTGGTGGAACATGTGATCTACTTTTGTTTTTAGTTATTTATAGTAAACGAATAAGACTGTAGACCACACTGCCAATTTTCTATCTTGCATTGTTTATAATAATAATTTAAAATTTGATAAATTATCTTCGTTTCCTTCTTCTTCCTTCTCTTTATATATGCGATGTTAGAAAGTCAACATGATCTTTTACCGTAATTTAAAAAAAAAAAAAACATTTGCATACTTTCATCCAAATCATGAGCTGCTAAACTTCCTAAATTAAAATTTATTACTATTTTTTAATCATTTAAATTGCTATTTACCTAGTTATTTACTAATTTAAAAGTACCAATCATTCATTTAACAAGTATAATTCATAAAATGTCACTAGTTGATGTAAAGAGGTGTCACTTTTATATGTTTAAAAAACGTATAACAACTGAATTATATTTTTAATTAATTACATTATAATAAATAATTTTTATAAGAATTATTAAAATATTATATAATTTTTATAACTTCAACTAAAATTTATTTGGCAAAATCCATTTTAAATTAAGATAGAAAGGATGTAAAATAGGCATGGATGATTAAATGATTTTTTTTTTAAATTATATTTTACTTAAGCATTTTAATTAGTTTTAGAGCTTATCGAATATTTTAATGACGTTCTACAAGAATAATTATTCACTTAATAGAGTATTGTATCAAATTACTTCCTCCTCACGAAGGGAGCGATCTGATACAACACATTTAACTTCGTCTAGAATTAATTAAACGTTAACGTGACACCTTTTCACGTCAACTTACCTCCCTTCGTATCGAGTGTAATTACCTCTAAAATGAATATTTTTATCGATACTTTTCTTTTTATTTTATGCAAGATTGTGCATAAAATAATTATTTTTATAAATAAAAAAAAAATGGCATTAAAATATATTATAATTTATGGCTATTATAACGATAGAATTTCTCAACTAAATTCCATTCTATTAACTGAAATGGATCCGACTGTTATTAAATAATAAATATAAGTGTCGCTTTCTCAACATGTAACTCGAGATCTATCGGTTGAGGACTTTATTAGATATTTATAAGTTATGACTTTCATTAAATATCCGGTTTTAAATATTTTATTTTGATTTTATTCTTTAAAATGTGTTATAAGTTTACGTACTGTAGTTTAACTTTAAAGTAAACATCGTAATTCATTAATATAATAAAGGGGACATTCAAGTACTGTATTACGAAAGCACTTGAAGAAGAGGAAAGTGAAAGTAAATCTTACGACTGCTTACAGGGACACGTAGAGAAGGGAGCAATTGCCCTGAGCCCGGAAGAAGTAGGTTTCCCTTGTACAATTTAGTATAAAACAATTTTTCTATGGGATCTGAAATAGTTTTGTGCTTTCTTCCCCATTTTTTGTTTAATTCCTTTAATTTAATAGAGTAATTTAATTCGCTGTAGGGCCCCCTATATGTATTTTGCCCCTGGCCCTCATTCTCAGAAATATCTTACCTAAGCATTGATTAGACATTCCCAGAGGATACTCTGGGTGGTCCTGAGAATGTCTAATCAATGCTTATGTATTTTGTGAACACATTCAAAGATATTTTCAATATATCCAAAGAAATATTTACGAAGAACATTATCAAAATCGTAAATACTGATGTTTTTACTAAATCAAAATACAGTATTTAATTCATTCTCTTTTCGTGATAAGTAGAATATAGAGTGGGAGTAGATGAACGCACTCGTGCATAATTTAGGGAGAGGAATGTACTTAATGCTTGCTTGGAGGATGGAAGAGATCAAAGATGAAGAAAATTATGCTCAATTGAGTGCCCTTAAATTAGAATGATATTCTTTATTTTTTACAATGTTTAATTTATTTTTGAAAAATAATCAGAAAATATTTTGTAATTTGAAAATTTGTTTGTAACGATTTAATTATTTACTTAAGTAATTTTTAGTGGACAGAGAACTAAGCATTACAGTTAAAGTCTATGGTTCTATGGTAGAAATTTTCACATTGTCAACATAGATATAAAAAAAAATTGTAGTAAAATTTCTGCTGAATCAAATAAACGTGTTCATTTGTAAGTAATTAAACATTTCTAACAAAATAAATAAATAAATAAATAGGAGATTTCTCTGAAAATGCCAATAACAGCTGCTTCATGTTTATATTTTGATATGGGAGAATCCTTTACATAATCTGTAATTTTTTTTTTTTGAAATTTCAAGGAAGAAAAAAAGCTTTCCTTATTGTTTGTCCGTTCGTTTCTATTTTTATCTTGTTTAGAAAAAAATTAAAATCCTTCCATACAAAAGAAAGAAAATAATACTGTAAAGCAGTGTTTTTATATTACACAAATAGATTTACGTGACAGAAATTTATTTTTTAAAATGTTTTGACACCGTTTATTGAATTTAAAAAGCGAAATTTCCGAATGTTCACTACACGCAAACGTGTATTTTTTTCCTTTCTTCCTCGTTCTGTGACACGCGTTTTTCAAAACGTTCCATTTCCCAGATGCAACCCATCACGGAAGTGGAAAGTCACGTGACCGGGAGCACCCTCGTCGAGTTCTCATTTCTGACAATAGATGGCGATTTACAGGAGAAATTGTGACGTCATGCGACGATGGAGAGTGGAGGGGAGGCAGCTGGATGTGAATGACAGAACTCGGGAAGCTTCGCAAGTGAGATGGTGAGGTGTGACATGTCGGGACGTTACTAGGACTAACCATCTCGTCCCCCCTGATTTTAGGGGATTTCCATAACTATTGTTCCTATTAATTAAGGTAAGTCAATTTATACCATTTCTATTAATTGTCACATTTTTTAATTGCACACTTATTTAGTGTAATCGCAGCGCACTCATTAACAAACTAAGAACACCGTATTTAATATGGCACCTATTGTTAACATATAGGATATTATTCATCGTAAGCATCCCGATGCGGTTTCTATTGTTAACACATAAGAAATTGTACTCTATAAGCACTATACCTTTTTAGTTTTTAGTGTATTTCTTATTGTTAAAACGCACCAAAATTATTCATTAACAATAATTCTCTGATTTTAGTGATGATTTTATTGTTGTAGAGCACCGAAATTGTGCACTAAGAATATTAGAAGCAACGAAATTTGATGTTCTTTGATCATTTTCCATAAATACAAAATGTAAATTTCAATCTTTTTGAAAGAATTACATCGAATTTGGAAAAAAAATTCGGAAAAAACCTCTAAATTCGATTTATTTTTTCAAAAAGACACATTTCATTGCTTCTGTCATAGTTTAAATTTGTATAGAATATAAATTATCTAACGCTTCATCTCGTTTTGTAATAATGTTTTTTTTTTTTTTTAGAAATTTAATGTAATTTTTTTGTTTCATTTTCCAAAAATTTTACGGACATAATTTCTTCGAAATCTTCATAAATGTACCATGACAATAGCGTATTAAAGGCATTGTCAAGATGCATTTGTCAAATTTAAATTAGTCGATAATCTGGTTTATATATTCATTTAAAAAATTAATTTTGTTCTAAGAAATTTCTCAAATCCTCACGGAACAATCCTTGCAAATCGATTTCTTTGTGTCACTCGGATGCCAACTGTTTAGTGGCAAATGAAAATCCGGTTAATATCCTTTCACTTTCGGTGTGTTCACGACTCGGAGCGAAATTTTTTAGATTCCATTCCATTTCACATCATAAAATGAATGTTTCCAGTTGAATTTTAATACAGAATTTAAGAAATTTTGCATCCTCCGACGTCAAATGTATGTTACTCTGGTGTCTTTTGATACAGTTTTTTAGAAAATGGCAGAATATAAAGTGAGTAGAACGGAACGTTGTACCACGTCTAATTGGCTAATTTGCCGTCACGATTAGTTTAACAAGATTACAAATTTAAAGCGAATTTTTTTTAATGTTACGAAAAAAACCCCCAAAAAGTATGTTTCTTTAACGACACGAGAACCTTTAACATTAAAGTTTTTTAAAAATATATTCTTTCGTATTTTCGTTAGAAACGATGGAAGATGGGGACAATAGCAACCAGGATGTTCACAATAGATGTTTGCTTGGAGGGATCCCCACCCCCTAGTCCTGCTTCCATATCGCATTTCCTAAAATTCGCCCCAACTTGGGAAAAGTGGCAGCTGGATGTTCCCCCTCCCATTTTCCCCTTGGGGTCGGGATATTGTCCCCAAAACGTCCCTCACTGTTCATTGCACTGAAAGGAACAAAAAAAAAAAAAAAAAAAAAAA